CTCTGGCCTGCTCCTCCCTCTCGCCCTCCCTTTCTTCCTCCTTTCCTCCCACCTCCTTGCCACTGGGCTGCGGAGGCGGGGAAGACCCGCCACAGGCTGGCGTGCGGAGCCCCGGGCCGGCGGCCTTCCGTGATTAACGAGTGTTTACAAGACTCTATTAGTAATGACACAGACACCAATGGCTGGAGACGTCGAGGCGCAGCGCGCGCGGAACGCACAACCCCCCGAAACACGATTTGCATTTTAAAGGATAAGGGGGGGAGCTCGCGAGAGGGCAGCGACCCGATCGCAGCGAAATATTCAAACCTTTATTGTGAAAAGCTTCCTCCTACCAACCTGGTGCACTTTAACCTCCAATCACAGGTTCAAAGAATGAAATCAAGAGACTTACAAAAGAGAGGGGGGAGAGAAAGGGCTATCTTGGTGGGAATCTGGGCTTGGAGACTGGAGCAGCCGTGTTTATGCATCTGCAGGGAAGGGCGGTCAAGAAACGCCTTCTGTCCCAAAGAGAAAAAAGAAACCATTGCTTTGATGAGGACGTTTCTGACCCGGCCGGGAGGTGTCGAGCAGAGAGCCCTAAGAGGTGGGCCGGCTCCTTCCCGCCCTGCGCTCCTGGCCCGGACCGCTGCGGCCCCAAACGACTGTCACCGCCAATCATGCATGTTCTTGCCCCAGGAGAGCTCTCGCCCTTCTCACCAAATAAACGATGACCCTCGTTTCCGCCTGCGTTTCCGAACTCTTCTCCGATTGGGGATTTGAGTTAAAGTAAAGCAATTTGTTTGTAAAGAACACTTACTTCCAAGAATCAAAATCAGTGGTCCACAAAACCCACGGGCCTGTGGTAGAAGTGAGGCTGGTGGCTAGCTTGGAGGGCATGATTGGCGGGGCGCTCTGAGCGCGCTAGAATTTGGATGTGCTGTTTCTTGAGCTGTGGGTTACACGTGCGTTCAGTTTGTAAGCATGCAGCGAGCCACAGCGTATGTTTATTAGATGTAAATAAGTAGTTAACAACCAGGAAGCGGGAACCTAGAATTTCTGCTGCATTTGCAGGTATTTATGCATTTCATCCTACCTGCGCCTTAAAAAACATTCTCCTTCACAAAGTACCGCGTTCTCTGAAGAATTTGTTCCCTCCACTCCCCCACCCCAGGAGTTGGGAAAACAACCCAGGGCCATGGTTAGCTGTTGCTAATGAAAAGATCCCAGCGGAGAGAGGTTGGGGGAAAGGACCCCT